CGAAGAGTTTGACAGTAGCCTTGCCCCCATGGAGGGTACCTTCCTCGGCCTCGATCTGTTGGAAAGTGAGGCTATCACGCTGGGGATCGAAGTCGACGACAGGCGGCCGTTCCCAAGCTTGGTCCTTTTCCGAGTTGGTCTGTTTGAGGTTTGATATGTCTTGGCTCAACTTCTCCAGTACTTCGGTTTCGAAAGTGCTCTTCGGTTGACTTGACCCGAGCTTATGACCAGGACCCTGCTGTGAACTGTTGAGCCGCGATGCTGGTGAGGAAGACAAGGGCTCTAATCGACGTCTCTTGATCGAAGATGGGGTTGAAGGGATATTACGTCGGTTAGATGCGTCGCCAAAGACGCGCTTTTGGGGAAGGACTGCAGCATCCATGACTGTCCTGTTGGTGAATATGAATCAAGAAATATTCAGCGCATCGGATCAAGTGTCAAAAGTGAAGATGTTGTTGATGGATGGTAGCCCAGCAAAGCGTCAAGGTGCGTAAAGTGGTTTTTGAAAGACTCGCGTCGCGCGTTCAAAGTGGCCAGGGTTCACGCTTTCTGTAGTGGGGCCACTCAATTAGTCGCGTTACGACGTCACTTAGTTATTCTTATAAAAGCTACCTATCAGCCTATCCGATATGCGTATAGCTAGATATCCCCCATTGTTGCATACGTATTACCATGGAAGACAACTTATGCCTCACACTTGGTCCCGCCATTATTACGTATTTGCTTAAACTTCATCTTCATTAGGGGCAAATAGTATGCCTTTTTTGCATCACTTGATCGAGAGGTCACTTCTTTCTGGACTAGAACTTGTGTGGCATGCAACATACTTTTGTTCATATCCATCATAATCATAGTAATAGTACATTTTAGGACCTCACAACTAATTGCTCTGTTTATCTATAGTTCGCGCCCACTAGCCTTCTCAACGCCATCTTGCTCAGCCTTCTCCTCCACTACTTTTCCAGTAGGGGTCCAGTTGAGAGCATTCAGCCTCTCCGAGAGGATTGGGTGGGAGAAGTGGTAGCTAGCATACATCCAATCTGCGTCCATGGTGCTGAGGTTCTGGATCTGAAGTTTGATAAGGGAAGCGGCTAGCTCGGCCTTGTAACCCAAGTTAAGAGCAAATTCATCCGCCTGGAACTCAAATCGTCGGCTAAGGATGTTCATTAGGAGCTTGATGACTGTGTCCATAGGTGCCAATGCATCCGAGAACAAGATGAACCCAATGATAATCGGGTGCTCCTTGACAAAACCGAAGTCCGCATATAGGGATGCGTTGTTTACGAAGACCGAGAATAGAGTGAAGATGTAGAAGACGTGAATCTAATGACTGTCAGCTTTGATACTAGTAATCGTGTTAGATGTGATATTTAACCCACCTGCGAGATGCCAAAAAGCCGGGTAGTATGTCCTAGGCTCCAGTGCCCGAGTTCATGGGCAAGGACCGCCACGACCTCTGTTTCGCTACTTTTCTCAATCAGAGTGTCGTAAATGACGATGTGCTTCTTCCACGGCAGGCCAAAGAAGTAAGCGTTGCTGTGTGCACTACGCTTGCTACCATCGATGACGAAAAGTTCATGAAGGGGGAAGTTCAATTTCTTGGCCAGCGCTTCAGTCTCCGACTTCAGCTTGCCTTCTTCTAGCGGAGACAGTTTGTTGAACAAGGGCAATATGACAATTGGGTAGACGGTGATCATGAAAACCTGTAGAGTCGCAGTGAAGAGCCAGAGGTAGGAAACGAATTGGTTGCCTGTCTTCTTCACAATGCTAAGGAAGCCGGCTAGAATAGGCGGGGCAAAGACGAAGGCAAGCAGGTTTGACTTAATCATGTCCATAACAAATAGCTTTGGTGTCTGTTTGTTGAACCCGAACTTCTCTTCGAGGACGAAGGTGTGGTAGATATTCGTGGGGAGCGACAAGGCTTGCTGAACCAGGACGAAGGTGAGGACGAAGACAATCGAGTGCGATATTTCACCAGTGAACCGAGCGGGAGCGAAACGGAGGAGCAAGCTACCAGTCCAAGACCAGAGTTTTGGCAGCACATCGTAGTGAATGAAGGCAACGTTCTGGATTTGACCCCAGAGACCCTTGACAAAACCGAACTTCGCTTTAGCGCGATTGTATTCCTGACTCTTATCGTAGACATCCTTAGAGACTTCTTGTTCGAGGACCTTGGGCGGCTTGGTGTTCTTCAAAACCTGATACTGGCGGAGGGATAGGAACTCTTCGAAACAATACTGGGCGACGGAAAACCCGACGATGAGCTTCTTCCAAGGGAAGAGCGGGCGGTCGAGAAACCGCGCTAGACGCTGATGGTTTTATGTCAATGCTTGCATTTCAAGTCAAGATTTCTATCAAGGCTTACCTGTAAGATATCCATCGTATCAAGATGCTATGCAATAGCTTTCTTGATAGAAGTAGGAGGAGGGGAGAAGAAAAGGCTGTCTTAGACTAGCCGCAGCGCAATAAGCTAGCAGTTCATGGATTGAGAAACCGTGTCCCCAGGTGTGGCAGTTCCGTCAGTGTGGCTGAAATCTAAAATAGGAAAAAATTGTGTCATGGTGGTGGAATGCCAAGATAGCCTTATTGTCAGCCACATCACTTTTCGACGTCTTGATTCCTACCTACCAGGTTAGGTAGGTAGTAAATGCAACTTCATCGATAACTGCATAGAAAGCAAGGGTTAACAATGACCTCGGGAGCATTCACAGTGAACCATATATGTTCTGCAGGCCAGGTAATGATTGAACACTGGAGTATGATGATCTAATGCCTGTTAGGTAGTCAGGTCAACTCCATGAAAGAAGATATGAACTTATGAATGAAGCTTTTAAGATGACACTTATCTCTCCTAGAAAACTCCCCAACCCAAGAAGGGGGTAGGTTTCGGGGCTTATCTTTATGTAGCAGCTCATACTAGGTATTATCCCCAGAGCCGAGGTAATGGATGACATAGTCCACGATCACAGCCATATTCTCGCCTAGTGACTCTGTAACAGGGTAGTGATTCCCTAACTGTGTTCCAGGTGATGATACGTGTTATGATCTAAAAGCACATTAAAACGGAGTTTCTGATTTGATACATTGCTATTCATTTTATTATCTAAGTGAAGACGCTTTCGGTGAAATCGGAACCCATGACATGGTCCGTAGATAGATTATTCGGTGATCTAGGCCATAGGGCTTGCGGTAAAGCAAGAGTATCCTTGGGGGTCGTAACGTCTATCTAACAGTTTCCATATTCAGGTAGAGGGGAACGAACATGTAGGTTAAATAATATCCCCCTTAGCTCGACAGCGATGTACATACATAATCTCGGGGATTTTTTAGCATGTGCTACTTACCTAGGTAGGTATTCATGTTTCTCTAGCCCTTACCCCTTAGTATTGTAATTTGCTTCCTTACCTATGTATACAGGAAGAAACTTGAGAATATGGGTGGCCGTTCGCTAGAAACAGAAATGCGAAAGTAGAAACATATACCATAATTAGAACTCCCCTGCTTATTGCCGTGTGGGCGATCTAGTGTGAAGACAGGAAGGAATATTTGTAGCGAATTCATCCACCAGTTCATGGCGCAAATTTGAAATACTATCGTAGAGCTAGAGCGCGGTTTCTATGGCCTAGGCACAGAGGGTGTGAGAAACCATCATAAAGGACGTACACTCAGTTGTAGAAGGGGGCTCCCAAGTACCCAACCAACGCAGCTAGCTTCCCCTGACTATCGATTGCGCGTTTCAAGTGCTGAATATCGGGGGTATTACTCGAACATAGACATAATGTAGCTCTATGATGTAGGTTGAGAGATTACCTCGAGTTACCCGGTGGTAGAGGTATGAATGCGAATAGGGCTGTTAAGTTAAGCGAACCGCCCCCCACCTTCCAACGAGGCATACCAACTACTCTCCCGGTTCGACCAAAAACAGGCGACAATGCAAGTTCGAAATGCAAACTCTATACGGGTATAAGGCAGTAATGCTATCTCATGTTCGCTTTAACCCTCTCTAGGAGCTGTTCCCGAGTATCGCCGGACTGTGGGTGTAGATTACGCTGTACGAACGAGTCAGTGAGTAGATGGCGCATTTGGACCATGACACCGTATCCACACTTACAGCAGCAAGCCATCTTCTGAGTTCCTCCCTCGTCCAGTTTTCAGGATCTCCAGTTGGATCTGCCTGGTTCGGAAAGATTTGCCCGCCCCATAGCGACCACTGTAAAGACAATGTTAGTAAGTTGCCATCCGGAGTATATAGCGGTTGAGAGTAAGTGAGAAAGAAGTAGACAGTTTATGCTTGTAGCGACGACTGGTCTGGTAGGAAGGAAATGGGACCACAACAAAACAAACGAAAAGAAGAGGGAGATAATTATGGAATTGACGTACGGCTAGAGCGCCTGTGACGAGACCTGAGAAGACTTTAAAATAGATGTCCATCAGTACTTGATAGTACGCAAAATAGTGTTCAGTGTCTTTTGTAGGTACCTAGTACAGCGTTCTTGTACAAGTCAGTAAGTTGAAATTTGATAAAAACTGCTTATATAGGTAGATATTTTCGGCAGGATGGTAAGCATACCTTTGACTTCATGGCGTTGTCTAGTGGAGTAGGCATGACAGGCAAAGTTGTAATAGAGAAAGCGCCCCTGAAATGATTAAGTGAAGATTACAGGAGATGTACGTGTTCACTCGGGGAAAAAGGGTATTTAGGAATGAGTCACGGGGTCATAGTAGATATACCCAATGATTAGGCAACCTTGTTCAGACCAGATGCCATGGACAACGTTGCCTGTTCACTGGTTCCAGACTGGATACCTATGAGTCGGGATCAGTGGAAGCTCAAGCTCACGCCACATGTGGAAAAGCCGCGTCAGCCACATGCACCATGCTGGATCATCAATTGTAGGACCCGATAAACTGCCGAGTTTAGAGGAGAGTGAAGCAATCACTACACAATATTTAATGCATATGGCTATACATTAGAGGAAATTCTCCTATCAATCGCCTAAGGCACGATGGCGGAGTGGTTAACGCGGTGCCCTGCTATTTAATAGTGTAAGGCATTTCCTTCGGGAGCGCAGGTTCGAATCCTGCTCGTGTCGCGTTTGTTTTTTTTATAATTTTTTCCACGTATTCTGCCTATTTTCTGTCTAATTTTATTGATTTTCCCTCAAATTTTTTTTTTCATTAGATAGGTAGAGAAAGTTCAAGAGCGCTATTGCTATATAAGTGCGTTTCTCGTTACTTATGATGCAAGATTGAAAAGCGAATAGCTTGGGCCACCTGGTTGACGGCTGGCGGGGCCAAGCAAAAAGTGGACAGGAACGCATCGGAGCTAAACCCGATTTGGTTTTCCACGCTGGAACCCTACAATTCACACAATTTTGCTGCCGGTACTTTGAATATTGATCGCACACATCGACGAAAATTTCCCACCTACACCAAGCAGACACTACCCTTTCACCAGCCCAGCAGTCAAGATGCCTCAGGAAATCGGCGATATTAAGAAGGTATCTGCGCAATAAATCTTTTATCCGTCGAGAAAACGAATTGTGAGTAATAGGACTGACGAATTGGCCATTTAGTTCATTGAGATCTGCCGGCGGAAGGACGCCAAGTGTACGTGTGCCGCGAGACAATAAAAGAGTAAAAAGAATATCGGTTTTGCGAAGTTGGTTCTAACAGATGCCACCGTGTAGCCGCCCGGATCAAGAAGAACCGCAAGTCGTCGCAGACCAAGTTCAAGGTCCGATGCAAGGCCCAGCTCTACACCCTCGTCCTGAAGGACACCGACAAGGCCGAGAAGCTTAAGCAGAGTCTGCCGCCGAGTACGCAATCACCTCACCCTTTCCTACGAGAATGAATATCAATGGGGGCTCAAGACTGACATTGGATACTGTAGACCTGCAAATCAAGGAGGTCCCCAAGAAGAACAAGAAGGGCAAGCACACAGCTTAAGTGGATGAAGGAGGGCGATGTATAAGGGCGATGATTGGTCAAGCTGATGTTTTTTACGACTCCCTCGCGGACGAGCTAGAGGTCCTTTGATCTGAATCACGGCATTCGGTGAACATGGTGCATACGGCCAGGGCCAGGGCCAGGACTGAGCTGGCAAGGCTCATTTGAGGCGGCGTCTATGGGTTACCATGGAATTGAAACTTGCAGGCGAAACGAGGCTTGTGGTAGACAATTCCACATCAATTGCACATGAAATAAAAAAATAATTAAACCTGGGCCAGAAGAAAACAAGCCTGCTTGCTGTCTTAACTTTCAGACCGGTGCCTTAGGTACTAAATCCATGCCCTCACAGGACCCTCCGGTAATGCTTTACGTCGTTGGTCTTAGCAAAAGACAGCAGAGGGGTTGCGTATTTGACGAAATCCTCCGTCTTTGCCAACTCGGCGTGCCTCTCGACCGCCGGCCAGCCGATGAAGAAGACGCTCTCTTCCGTGTCCGGGTCCGCCTTCTGCTTGCGCCAGCCGCTCCGGACCACGTGCGGTTTCGCGAAGGCCTCGAGGACGCCCTTGCCTCCCTCCCAGGCCTTGGCCAAGTCCTCTTTCCGGTCGGCCGCGACGGTCACCCTCCCGACGCTGACGACGGGGCTCTTCAGCAGCGGCACCTTCCCATCCCCGTCCCCGTCCCCGTCCCCGTCCCCGGAGAAGACGTCGACGTCGAGGTGGAAGTACTCGATCTGGTCCAGCAGGAAGTGCGGCACGAGCGCGGCGGAGCTGGCCTTGTACTCGTCGCTCGCGAGCCAGGCGAGGTGCTGCTCGGTGGACTCCCAGTGCGCCGTCTCGAGCACGACGCGCGGGTCCTCGACCTGCCGGAAGAGGCCGACGCCGCGCGCGTCCCGGCCCCGCGGCGCCGACGGCACGTTCCGCGCCACCCACTCGGCCTGCGCGCCGAGCGCGCGCTCCATCGCCGCCTTGTCCTCGTCCGTGAACGTGGCCGACGAGCTCGTCAGCCAGACGAGGTTCGTGACTGGCATGATTGACAGACTGACAGACAGATAGTAGGCAATGAGAGTTTTTATGTCGTGATATGTATATGTGTGTGATTTTCTCTGTGACTATGATAGATTTGTGGATAAGAGTCAAGTATAGTATGAGTATGCATATGAAGCTATATTAAATTGTAGGCGTGGATATCGAATGCTCATCTTATAATATCTCTCATACATGCATGTATATATATGTAACCCGACTACCCCGCAGAAGCACCGCTAAAAAAAGACCGTTTGGCTGATGATTTCTAAAGACTCTTCGCCGTAATCCGTCCTGCAAGTTCCTAACAACAGAGGTTAGTTAGTAATGACAGCGGTTCGGTGCTAAACCGAGCTCTCTTGAAATGGGTACCCGGCTGCCTCTGGGCATCTTAACGAGTATTCCCTTTAAAATGGATGGTCGTATTCGAATATTTTATCTTCAAGTGAAGTGATCAATCACTTGGCCTTACATTGATCCTCTACGAGGGGTAGATCCCGGACCCTCCTTAGAGGGGAATCCTCATATCATATATATTAAAGCTTTTAATTTCGACAAATATCGGCTTCTTACAAAAACATAAATTGCCGATAGCGGCTGCCTTTGCCCATAAAAAGACTTACTTATGAACCCGAGGGGTGATACAAGCCATACCTAGTTGACAACATAATATTCTCAAAGATATCGTCGTCATCTCACGATTGGGAACTTGGAAGGATGCTATATGAGTCAAGATAAACTAACTGTTTATAGGAGTTCCCGATCGCTCTCCTATTCCAGTCTCGAGCAGAATGGAAGGGGGGCCGTTTCCAATGGATCACGACATATGCTCGCTCGCAAGATACAGACGACAAAGAACGAGAACCAGCCACTCGTGTACTACTGCAGTACAAATGCGCCGCGCGTGTTACCGTAACGGCATCTGGTATAACTCTGTCAACCAGTTGGATCAAGCATGTCTTGTAATGACGAAGGAGGCTGTATCTCTGTATCTTTCTCTCTCCCTCTCTCTTCACCTCCTCGATGACCCGACTCGAAACTGTATTGGGGCGGTACATGAGATGATGCAGTTAGTTAATCGGGCATGTCGGGGTTGTCTAATTGGGGGCATGGCCGAGCAGGGATCCTATCTTTGATAGCTGGCAAGGTTAACGAGCTACAGCCAATCAGACGATGATGAGATGTGATTTTCTCCTCCAACCGGCCTTGGGGAAGACTCGCCTAGGTCCGCGAGACCCAGATATTTTCTGGCTTGTCAATTCCCATTGCGGTGGTCATGCGGGTGGACTAACGCAAGCCATCGACCCATCCCAGCCCAATTCGTATGCACTGGTACATTCGTGACGATGTAACACGGTCATGAATATTTGGAGTAGTGCTACCCGACTACCGTAGTACGGTAGTTTAGATGAGTTACGACAAAAGGGGGCTTGGAGTCTGCATCAATAGTATATGTAGGTTACTCCCAAGCAAAGCAAAGCCTTGCTGTGGTAATGTGATGCAGGTATTGATAAATAACAAACAACTAAACTAACCTAGCAAGCATTGGTGCATCTTATCTAACATGTATTTCCTTTTTCAGGGAATAGATAAAAATAAAATCAAGTCATTCGCTTACTTATACTTCGGGTAGTCTATGTTTCCTCTTAGCCTTAGGTACCTAGTCAGTGTTGTGTACCCGATTGAGCAAAAGGGCAAAAGGGCAAAAGGGTTTAACTGCGGGTTGGGTTGATCAGGACAAGAACGTTGGTGCAGATCACTTAAACTTACACACATCGGCACCGCTACGAAAGCTACTCAAATCACACAAAACAATCCCTCAATCTCTCAATCTCTCAATCCCCTCTGCGAGTTTCCGTTCCCGCGGCCGTCACCCTTCCACAGTGGCGTAGACATTTTGTTGTCGGTTTCCGATTACGTGTGGCACCCCGGGACTCGGAGCTTGGAGGATTCCCCTTTTAGGGGAAGAAGAAAAAGGGACCCTGCCCCTGGTCCTAGCTAATCAAAGCTGATATAATATCATTATACTTACGAAATACATACGAGGTACTACACTGCCTTTATACACTACCCACGCCACGCCCGTTACCTTTTTTTCCTCTCTTCTTTCCCCCATTTCCTCGAATGACTCGCGTGCCAACCACGCCAGAAAGCTCGACCTCGGAAATGTCTAACGGCGTCAATGGCTTTCACAAAGAGATGGAGGTAAACGGGGCTGCAAACGGCAATACAAACGGCAACACCAACGGCAACACCAACGCCTACGTCAATGGCAATGGTAGCGACAGTGGAAGGTCGTCCGTGGAGAGCGAGAGGGAGAAGAAGAGGATGAGTCGCAAGAACTCGAGTCCCCTGATGCCTGCATTTATGGTCTCGGCACCAGGCAAGGTCATTGTCTTCGGCGAACATGCCGTCGTCCACGGCAAGGTACGATCGATCCACCCCAATGTTTACGCGTGAACGAGCCGAAGCTGACCATAGACTTACTATGTATAGGCTGCCATCGCGGCGTCCATCTCCCTACGCTCCTACCTTCACGTCACGACCCTCTCCAAATCCAGACGCACCGTCACTCTCCGCTTCCCGGACGTCGACCTCGTACACACGTGGAACATCGACGACCTGCCATGGAACGTGTTTTCACATCCCTCCAAGAAGAAGTACTATTACGACCTGGTGACCACCCTCGACCCCGATCTAGTCAATGCCATCCAGCCCCATCTTGCCGATATTTCACCACATAAGCCTGCGGCCGAGCGCAAGATACATCAGAACTCAGCATCATCTTTCCTGTACCTCTTTTTGTCTCTGGGGTCCCAGAAATTCCCTGGATGCATATACACACTACGCTCTACCATTCCGATCGGGGCTGGTCTTGGAAGCAGTGCCTCAATTGCCGTCTGCTTGTCCGCTGCCCTCATGTTACAGATCCGTACCCTCGCTGGGCCGCATCCGGACCAACCCCCCGATGAAGCGCGGCTGCAAATCGAGCGAATCAACCGGTGGGCCTTTGTGGGGGAGATGTGCATACATGGCACCCCGTCAGGCCTCGACAACACCATCTCCACCCAAGGCAAGGCCGTCGTCTACCAGCGAACTGAGTTCGGCAAGCCCCCGAC